GGTGATAGGAACTCCAGAATGCATTGGGAAATAAGTGCAAACATAGTAATCATAGAAAAAAAAAATTCAAGTTAGAATTCTGTTAAACATGGATGACTAAGCTGATTTGTTCTTTTTTTTAATTTTTAAAAATATTATTTTAATTTTTTTTTGAGAGAGAGAAAGAGAAACAGAGTGTAAGCAGGGGAGAGACAGAGAGAGCAGGAGACCCAGAATCCAAAGCAGGATCCAGGTTCTGAGCTGTCAGCACAAAGCCCAAGGCAGGGCTCAAATTCACAGACACTTAACTGACTGAGCCAGCCAGGCGTCCCGTGCTGATTTGAAAGATGCCTTTCCCTCCCCTCAAACACTGATATCAAGGACACACCCAGGTACTAAATATTGCCAAAAAAGCCCACAAGAGGGTACAGGTCTGTGTAGCCAGAGACTGAGGCTTTTATCACATGGGAGTGGGATATCCAATGGCCATCTGAAAAAGGGAACTAATTGAGACAAGATCATGAACCATTAGGTTTCCAAAGTCAGTTTCATGTGTATGAGATGGTAAAGGTTCATCTGAATGTGTGAGTGAGAAATGAAATCCCTGCAAGAAAACTGAAGCCAAATTCCATTGTGGATGGCTTTAAGTTCTAGATTCATAATATCCTATGGTACCCCAAGCTAAGATAACAACAACAAAAATAAATCCTACTGCTGTCAAACCAAACTCATTGGAAATCCCAGCCAAGCCAAAGAGAAACCATTCTTTAGGGATGTACCAATAACCCATACAAGATTCCCATGGGGGAAAAAGCCTTCATCAAGGATAAACTTATATTAGTAAATTATGAACCACATGAGAAAATACTATATATATGAAAACAAACTTTGTTAGAAATAGAAATAGAAATTGACAGAAACACAACCATCATGGAAGATGTTGTTTGTTGAAAGATTGATTAGACAATTATTTATACAAACATTCACAGGATCATATTCTAGCTACCCATCTCCCTTTCAAAAATAAGTAAAAGGTATCTCCCTTTCAAAAATAAGTAAAAGGTATTGTTTAGAAGATTATTGAAAAATACTTTTGATTATATATGTGTGTATATGAATATTGCATAGCCATTGGCATCATAGTTTGAAAGAATTTATTTCAATGTTAAATGAAACAGTCAGAATCAAATGCACAGATAGGAAAGTATTTTCTAAGAGAAAATATATTAAAATATTTCTAGTTTTAGAATGGTAGGTAATTTCATTGATATCTTTGTGCATATTTTGTATATCCCAAAATATCTATAATATGGGAAAAGATTCGAATGACAATACAGCACTGAAAAGCCTAAAACTTTGAGAATTGTACATATTTTGATATTTCTGGCATCAAGAACAAGTTTAGAAAATGGGCATGAGATAAGACTGTAAAAATAACTAAGAATCTCAAGAAAATTGATTGTGTCTTTTAATATACTTCTCTGCAAAGGTTATGAGAAATCTCTAAGAGTTCTAAGGTTAGAAATACTGATCAGATACGTATTTTCAAAAATTTCTCAGGCTGTACAGTGTAGATTTTTTAATGCAAAATAAACCAGAAAACCAGACTACAGTAGTAATAACAGTTACATTTTACTGGGTGCTTACTATGTGCCAGAGACCATGTGTTGATCACCTTATATATATTCTAGCTCATATCACCTTTGCAACAGCTCTGTCAGGTGGGAAGCTTTACCTAAACATAAGGCAACAGAGGCTAAAAACTTGCTGAAGGTCACTGAGTTTGTAAGTGGTGGAATCAGACTCCCATCTCAGAGAATCTAAAGCCAGTTTTAGAGCTCTCCCTCACTATGGTGCGTTCGGTGGTGCCTTTCAAAGAGAAAGATGGAAAAGAGAAGGCAACAGAAAAGAAGTTAATTAACATTTCTGCTTGAGAGATTGGATTTTGAGTAGGAGTTTAAGGAGAGAAGGAAGTTAAGAACAATCCGGAGAAGACAGGTAACGGAAAGTTCTGAAAATGATTTAAAACTTACATTCATTAGAGAAAACAGGAAATTCAATTCATTTTAATTTGCAATGAATTTTTGTGTCTTCTCATATTTGAATGTTGAAATGCAGTGAAATAGAAATAGTTTGGTTCTGATGCATAAAGAGAGTAGTGTAGAGTGCAGATCACATATGCAACACTTTGTGATTTTTTTAAATGTTTATTTTGAGAGAGAGAGAGAGTGAACATGTGTGCACAAGTGAAAGGGTGCATGAGCAGGGGAGGGGGGGTGAGAGAGAGAGAGAGAGAGAGAGAGAGAGAGATAGGGAGGGAGAGAGAGAGAGAATCCCAAGCAGGATCTCTGCTCTCAGTGAGGAGCCCAACTCCGGGGTCGATCCCAGGAACCATGAGATCATGACCTGAGCTGAAATCAAGAGTTGGACGCTTAGCCAATTGAGCCATCCAGGTGCCCCACTTTGTGATTTTTAACAAGTATTTCCTTTACTGCTCTAATGGAACCCAAGTTTCTTTACTTTCATATGGGGAGAAAGAGCTACCTTGCCTACCACAAGAATTTGCTGTTATCTGTTCTCATTTCATCTAGAACTTTTTAGATTTGTAATAATAGGAGTACATATTGAGAATTTCATTCTAATTGTAAAAAAAGATGATGTTCAATAAGGTAGCTGTTCAAATTTGTAAATTTTCAGCATTCATAATTAGCTTTAACATCAAACCTTACTTTCCACCAAAAACCCATCTATTTTCACCCCCTTTCATTTGTGAGAGTATACATTCTTAAGATATTTGGTCCTTATTATTGCCAATGATTTTGGTATTTATAGGATAAAATTTGGATATTATAGCATTTTCCATATGAAATGCATGAAGTAAATCTGTGCCACAAATATTTTCATATTTATAAGGCTTTTCTGCAAAACACACACACACACACACACGCACGCACACACTATATTACTATGGTGCACTAGTTGGGAGATGACATTTTCTGAAGGCCTCTCCTATTTAGAAAACTAGTAAGCACTAAAATTTACTTCTAGGTGTTCTTGGTACCAAAGGGACTTAAAATATTTGGCTTAACTCAGAAGTCATATTCTCCAAAAGCTTAGGCTTCACTAATAATTATCAAAACTATTTCAAGTTTTTTTCCTAAATTTTAATGTTTATTTTTGAGAGAGAGAGAGAGAGAGAGAGGGAGAGGGAGAGGGAGAGAGAGAGATGAAGAGGGGCAGAGAGTGAGGGAGACACAGAATCCGAAGCCGACTCCAGGCTCTGAGCTGTCAGCACAGAGCCCGACGCGGGGCTCGAACGCACGAACTGTGAGATCATGACCTGAGCTGAAGTCTGACGGTTAACTGAGCCACCCAGGCGCCCCAAAACCATTTCAAGGACTGACTCCATTATGAAGGTTACCTTGCTGTTAATGTTGTTCAAATTGGTGCTTTTCAATTCTTTCAAATACTATGTTCCCTGTTACAGTATTACAACAAGGAGGGGAAAAAATGGTAATAGGCATTGTTGCAACCTAAATACATTTCAGTTGTGTGGAAAATAATTAACAGTTGATCTCTGCCAAAACAACAACAAACAACAACAACAAACCATAGAATCGACTTAGCACTATGAAATCATAAAAGAGTCACTATCCGGTAAATAATAATTGGAATTTTTTTGTGCTTTAGAGAATTACAAGCATCCAATAATTGCATGAGTTCGCTTTGGGAGCTTAGAGCATGTTCTCCAAGTTAATTTCCTTGGTCAAGGCCATGAGTTCTAAGATCCCCTTATGTCTTTGCATTTTCCAGGGCTGTCCTAGTAAGGATCTATGTGATACCTCTCCATTGTATGCCTTTTTTCGTCTTTAATGTTTTAATTCTATTACCCATGGAAGTCTTCCCATTCTCACAAGTAGTAATGATTCTGTCCTTATTCTGGGTGTTAAATTCCCTCTAAGTGTGTTTATGCTATGTTTTACAAGATAATCTTTGGCTCCTTTCGTCTGCTAGTGCAACATCAGCCAGCTTCTGATTTCTATTTGCTACAGCAACCAGTCGAGCTCATTGGCGTGCCTGGCCCTGCATGCTTGATTGCACAAGACTATTCTCGATGAATGTCTTGTCAGTTGCAAGATGCTGAACCCACTCTGAAAAGTTTTAGAGTGGGTCCAGGTGATGTAAGTGTGCTTGTGAAAGGAGAGGAGGTCGAGAAATGGTCTGTTCCAGGAACATCTTCCCAGTCCCTTCCACACCAAAGCTTACTCCTATTCTAATGTACAAAGAATTTCTGTAGCATTTTCAGTTCGAACGAATTTAGCCTTTAGCGCTTCAATAATTTTGAGCCGTGTATTTCTTAAGCAACTCAATTGCATCTCAGTGTTTGCTCGTAGTACCAATTTACTGACAATTTACTGACTTACCAAGTTATCTGTGACATCTTCCCCAATTTTGTACTCTGTATATTCTCCTCTTTATTACACAGTGTTTAAACCTTGCAAACGGCCTGAAAATACTTTAAAATCGAGTTTACTGTCATCAGGCAGAATCTCAAGTGAGTTCAAGGCTGGAGAATCCCCCATTAAGCGCGAAAGTCTGCAGCCGGGACTGAGCAAACTCACCCGCACAAAAACGCATGCGCCCTTCCTCTCATTTACACCCGTTCTTTCTCTTAGGAGCTGAACCAGGTGAGAAGTCGGTAAGTGGGGCGTGTGCAGAGAGCCCCGCACGCTCAGCGCAGCAAGGAAAACGGCGCCACACTTGAGTAGCCTTGGGTTCCGTCCCCTTTCTTCTCTGGTTGCGAGTGCTGCGGGCGGCCGCCGCAGGTGCCTCCCGCGCTGCTTGCCCCCGGCGCGGCCGCCGCTGCCCGCTCCCACCCCTCGGCGCCGCCGCAGTGCGCGGAGCGCGGCTGGTGCCCGCGGCCCGGAGGGGCGCGCTCCAGCCAGCGCCGCTCGCTCCGCATCCCTGTCCTGCAGGCTCCCGGCACCCTCCCATCGCCGTCTGCGGTCCCAGGCCCCGCCATGGGGAATGTGCCATCAGCGGTGAAGCATTGCCTCAGCTACCAGCAGCTTCTCCGGGAGCATCTCTGGATCGGAGACTCAGTGGCTGGGGCGCTCGACCCTGCGCAGGTACCACCTCGCGGCCCAGGATGTCCCCACCCTTTTGCACACTGCCAGCTAGTCTCTCTCCCTGTTATGTAGCCACCGCACCCTAGGGCCCTTTCCGCAGCAGTTCCGTTTTGTTAGGCCTCACCTCTTAAAAGGGTCCCCATCCTCTCTGTGCTGTGAATATGTAGACCCGCCTGTATAGCTCAGATCCAGCAAAACCCCTACCTGTGGCCTTGCAAAGGAAACGGTTTCTTCTTTGTTTTATCCCCGAAGGGGATGCATTATGTAATAAGTATGTGTAGGCATTCCTCCAGGAAGAGTGCCTTTGTTTTCATTTCCTTCCCTGTACCGTGGAACAAAGAGGACACATTTGTCAAAATGTTTGTCAGGAAAAAGAATGATGCCAACATATAAGGCTAGGGGAAAAAATGGTAGAATGTAATTATCTGTCGTACCATTAATTAATTATCTCTAATGTATTTATGCTTCAACACAGTTCAATAAGCTTAAAAAATTGTAAATAATAGCAATGTCAAACCAAAGTTTATTTCCCTGTGATTCCTGAATACCCATTTTAAGACAACAGGCAACGTAATAGTATCCACATGTTTGCAGCTTAATGCACTCTCAAATGGCAGGTAAATGAAAAAAAAAAGTATATATATAAAGACATTTGCTTTTCCTTTAAAGGAGATCACAATGTAAAATTCTGCAAGTAGTAACCATGATCATTGTTATATGAATGTTAAACCATGGACAAAGGAAGGGACACTATAAGGGTTTTGCTCTTTTTTGAATGTTGCTGGATGCAAAATGTTTGTTCCTGATTCATCTTGTGAAAAGAATAGTAACTTGTGTTAATCATGTTAGTAGGTAAACATAATTTTACTATGTAGCTTTAAATCGACTGTTCTAATACTGGGTTTCCCTTTTCCTGTAGTTTTACATTTAGCGTATCCTCAGTTTAGCATACCCTTATGTGAAATCGTAATCTTGGTTCTACAAATTGGAATTCAGCATTTGTGGATTCTTTCAAAAGCAATCAGAAAGATACATTGCTTCCCCTTACTTAAAAGATGGGTGTGGTCATCTGGCTAAAAGCCTGTTGCTGAGAACACATGAAAGAGAAAGTTATTCTTCCTGTATGTTTACATAACTACTTAATTTTTCTACATTCTTATTTGATTTTTAGCTATTATAACAATATTCAGTCTGTTATATAGTAACCCTTAGTTTTTATTCCCTAACTCTGAGACTTTACAGGACTCAATTATTAACACTGTATTTCTCTCCTTTACATTCTAATTTTGTGGATTGTGGGGTCAATGATGGAGCCTGGGCTGCTACCTGAGCATGTCTACTTTGCCCTGTTAAGATGCGGAAGCAGGGTAATTGAAAATGACTGGCAATATGAGAAACAGCTATACATTCTCTAAATATCACGCTTTTATCCCCTGACTGCTTTGCCTGGGAAACTCCTATTCATTTTTCAAACACAGCTTAAATGTCACTTCTTTTGACCAACTCTTTGGCCCTGCCCAGAGTTAAAGCCCCATTTCTGTGCTCTCATGATACTTGATACATAATTCTGTTTTAGTCCCAATCTTGTTGCATTGTAATTTTTAAATCTTACTTGAATTCACAGCACCATTGACACCTGACACCTGATACTTAACTCATGGCAATTGATCTCTCTTCCTTGGCATCTGTTTAACAACACCTGTAACTGCTTTTAAAGCCTACCTCTCTGGTTCCTAACTCTGGAACCAGCCTCACTTAGTGGCTTCTGCCTGTCTGGGAAATGATCAGTTCCTCATGATTCCTTACCACACTCACAGTTTCACTTCCTGTTTATATTGTATATATATATATTGTATATTTATTTATCTAGATTTATTCTCACCTCCCTCTTAGGCCCTAGTCCTGATGTTCAGCTGCTCTTTTGACGTCATCATTTGCATATTGAAAAAGCAATTCGAACTCAACATTTCCAAAACTGGATTCACGTTCTCCCTCCTTAATCTCCAGACCTTCTCCACTATTTCCTATCCTAAGAACCCCATCACAATTCATTCAGTTCTACAAGCCACAAACCAAGAGCTCTTTATTTTCTACATCGAAAGTATGACAAAGTCCTGCAATTTCACCTCTTGACTTTCTCTCAAATCCATCTATATTTCTCCAGTTTCATTGCTGCTACCGAATTTAAAATGGCATTGTCTCTCATGGACTACTGGACAAGAATGGTCCTTCTTCAGTCCACTGTTTGTATGGCTACTTGGAAGATGTTCTCTACTTCAAATAGAATTCTGTTGTCCCCCATTTTATAGCCTTCTATGAATGTCCATTACTGTTAGGAATGAGTACAACAACTTTTAAAGTGTCTGAGGCTTCAAATGGTATTTTCTTTGCATCTCTCTGCAACACCGTTTAAAGGTATTCTTTTGTTCTTGCCACAGTGGCCTTCTTTGAATTCTTAATAATGTTTCCTCTGGAACCATGGCCTTTGATCGTTCTCCCCCTCTGCTGGGAAGATTCTTTTCAGCGAATTAACTTCTGTTTACCCTTCAGATCTTTGCTCAAATGTTGCATTTCCAAGAAATCTTGCCAAGACTCTTAAGCAACCCTTGCTATCTTATACTGCTCAGTGCACAATTCAACATATATAATATAAAGTATATATATATTTTTTGTGATTATTTGATGTTTAGTTCTCTACCAGATTCTAAACATCATAAAAGTAAAGGAAATATCCACCATCCTCAGCAACTAACAAAATGTCTGGTTAGTTTTTAATGGCCGGTAAATACTTAATGATCAAATGAATGAATGTTTCTCTTATGCTTCTGGGGACCATGAAATTCCTGTTAGCACTTGCCAGATCAATGATTGGTACATTGTAGTACAATGATAAATATTAGTTAAATAAATGGTTATATTAGGAGAATGATACTGAGTGTCATCAATACAGTTTGGTCTTAGTGATAGTAGATGGAATTATTACTGTTTGAGTCTTAACCTTATTATTTCTTTTTTTTTAAATTCTTTTAATTTTTTTTTAATTTCTAGGAGCTAGAGAGAGAGAGACAGCATGAGCAGGGCAGGGTCAGAGAGAGAGGGAGATAAAGACTCTGAAATAGGCTCCAGGCTCCGAGCTGGCAGTCAGCACAGAGCCCGATGCGGGGCTCGAACCCACGATCCGCGAGATCATGACCTAACCGAAAGTCGGACGCTCAACCGACTAAGCCACCCAGGCGCCCCTTAACCTTATTATTTCATAGAAGCTAGTCATGCTTTGATCGGAAGTAGACTTGCAAATGGCTTCTGGGGTTTGTGAAGAGACAACACAGTGCTTAACATGTGTTCACCATAAAATGGCAGAGAGAATGATGAGCATGACCCCTGTGATTTGAAACAGTTTGGTAATAGTTGGGACAGATAGGATGCTATAGTTTGGAAGAATCCTGTGCTAGGCAATAGAAGATTGGAAACCTAGATCTTTTTCTGCTACCAATTCATTCTGTGATTTTTGTGCAGGCAATATCCAGGCTAGATCTTAAAATTTCTGTTTACACATTAGAGGTAATGTATCCCTGATAAATTATTAGTATTAAAAATAAATACTGAATATGTGTATGTATAAATATACATGCATTTGAAGTTGCACAATTTATTATCAAATACAAAATGGGTCAATGTAAATGAAAGGCTTATTGTACCACAACTCCACTAATTAAATTATTTGAGTTTCTAATATTTTGCTAATGACACTGGTTTTACAGAAGATTCTGTTAATAGACCAGGAGGTTAAAATTGATCATTCTATGGTTCAAGCTATCTCTTAAGGCCTGTTTTATTTTCTATGTGTGTCTTTGTTAAAATGGGTATGAAGAAGCTGGTTTCATTGGTATGTTTCAAGGTTTTGATTAAATGTAATCAAACCAAATGCAACCTGTGAAAGCAATTCCATTTTGACTTCCAAGTGCTGCTTAAGCAGTATCTAAATTTCTTCTTATATTATTTTTTTATTTTTTAAAGCTTATTTGTATTGATAGAAGAGAGAAGAGTTGTGGTGGGGCAGAATGAGAGGGAGAGAAAGAGAATCCCAAGAAGCTCCGCAGTGTCAGTGCAGAGTCTGAACTCTCAAACCCCGAGATCATGACTTGAGCTGAAGTCAGACACTTAACCAACTGAACCACCCAGGTGCCACAATTTCTTCATATATTAATAACTCATTGTGATAATAAAATTCTGAATGATCTAAATTCTAATGCAGACTGTCTTGAATATATTAGATGTATGAAAGCAAAATCGTAGATTATGTGACTTTAACTTTATAGTTATTGTACATTATATCCTGATTACTTTAAGTTACATTGGCTCTCAGCAAAAATTATGATTCAAGGAAAGTATTTGTGTTCAAATTGCTCTGGAATTTAAACTAAATATATTTCTACTTAAATTTAATCAGAGGATAATGTGACTACATGCTCTTTAGTTTGCACCTATGCAGTTGTTAGCATATTTACTAAATACCTTGGGAGGACTGGGGAAGGATTTTCAGGGGGAAAAAAAAAGTACCCTTTTACTGTTTTTTATTTGTCTCAGGTGGTTATTTCCCCTCTTTTTTTTTCTCTTCCATTAGGATACCCCCCTTCTCTTTTATAGCTTCTTTTGAAATGACCTATAATTATTTAGTTTCCCCCTGCAATAGCTTGTTAATTATATATTTTTTACTTTTAGCTGCTATCTATAAGATATCAACACACATCCTGGGCTTATTAAAATATTAAATAAATTGGCACTATTACAACTTATTAAACAAGTAAATATAGTACTTTAGCTCCATCACTGCCATGTACTTTTTATAGTGTAGTATAATGTTAATTTTACATGTGGTATATTTGTAAAACATATATAGTCACTATACATTTATATTCATGAATGTATTTCTTTGTCTTCATTCCTTTCTTCATCTCCATTTTCCATCTGAAATATCTTCCTTCAGCTAGAAGTAATTG